AGATGGGCTGGAAGCTTGAAAGAGGGAAGGAAGCAAGCAGGAACGCGTAACTATAAGACGATGACGAAGCTAGCTACCGACCTGCATATGACGGTGGGAGCAAATCCTTTGGCAAGGCTGGCATCCGTAAAGCTTGGCCAGTAATCCTGTGTGCTAGGGTACGTAAACATCAGGCCGGAAGCAGAACAACCAAGCCGAAGGCATAGATCTACCTGAACGCCTGCCAAATGATGAACGCCCGGGCTTGGTCGCAGCATTGAAGTATACTCAGATTGCCTAGGCCTTTTTCAAGCAATACGACCGGCACAGCTCAACGGGGAAAGGCCGCCACAAAAGCCAGGGTCACAGTGAGACCTGGTAGACTTCCAAGATATGGCGTCGTATTCAATCTGCATGATGAGAAAGGCCAGACAGATGCAAGTGACGCGGGATATCATCCGACCCAGAGGCCTGAAGACAAGTTGAGAATCGCATCCATGGCCGTTGCTGACATGGTTACTTCTAAGGCCGCATAAAGTTAGCTCGCTACCTTGTACAGAGTGATAGCCTGCAGCCCATCATCACTAGTGATAAATTTTGGCGCCAGACGGGATCCGATGAGGACGGTATTCTGGGGGCCAGAAATGAGGAGCGAAGCTTGGAGCAGAAGGGCGCTCCTTGCACAGGTCCGCTGGAACCGAGCGCCATACTCGCACTGGCTACACGACTCTAATTCACGAATCCGTACGGTCATGTTTCTTCGAGGGTGGGTCGCGCAGGGTGACAATAAGAGTGATTGAGTGTTGCAACGTGTGAGAGGTGCATGCACGTGAGAACTGATGTGAGTACTGTGCGGGAAAGTGGGGCGGCGGCTCGAGCGATGCGCCGTTAGCTTCCGCTGAGTAAGACGATCGAGCGCGCCAGCCAATGAAGCTCCACCTGTCCGCGGGTCGTCAAGGCTTCTCTCGAGGTCTGCCTTTCCAGCCACCTCAGCATGCAGCCTATCTGCGACCCTGGTCAACAACGATTCCCATCCAGACTCTCGATTGAATGCGTTTGCGATCCTTCTCCGCCCAGTTCTCTTCCAATGGGAAGGCAGGTGGCAACCACACAACCTGTGCCCTTTCACCGGTATCGCCACGTCCAGTCATATGCCGGCTCATCCACATGCAATATGCAACCTCAGGGTGCCCTGGCGGCGCTGTGCCTCTACCCCGCCTGGGACACGGGCGTAACACACCACAACAAGCAGATGGGCTTGACGCCTAGAACGGCCAGATGAATTGATGTTTAACCGATCCAAGCAACGGCAATGAGGACCTTCGACTGTAGTCCATGGAGCACTGATGCGCATCGCCCACGCAAGTCGCGGCGCAATGCCAGTGTTCCGGCACCACCAGCTGACCTACGCTAGGTGGTTGCGGTAGCTGACAATGTGTTGGTGTTTTTGATGACTTGTGCCTCTTCTTATCTGTAGCCTTCTCTTATCAACTGATAACCCTTCACTTCGGCTGTGACGCGCCGTGGTCAAGTTGCGACTATGTTTTTCAAGAAGCGTGCCGAGCCAATTCAGCTACCTACGCCTTACATTCTAAGTCCCAGTGGGAAGTACGAAGGAAATGACGGGAGTTGGTCTACTTTCTTCATCAATGTCGGCGACGACGGCAAGAACAACAGCAACGGCCAGAACTTCAGGGTACTCATATCCACTTCTTCGCCAGCCACCCTCGTACCACAACAGACCGACTGGTGTTCTGATCCCAACCCTGAGGAGTGTGCAGCGAATCGTGGTATCTTGCCATACGAAGGCCGACCGTCTCTGGGCTTCGACGAAACAAAATCTTCGAAATGGCAGACTGCAGGAATCTACACAATTCCGGTACCCGAGTGGTACAACGACACATTGCAGGCAGAGGAACCAGCCGCAGTTTGGGGTGTAGATAATGTGGGTCTGGGTGAGAGTTCACCACAGAGCTTTATCCTGGCCGAGCAGTATGTCGTAAAGTATACCGTTGCAAACTTTTACATGGGTTCCCTTGGGCTCGCTGTTGGATCCACCGGACCACCCGGCGCACTCAAACCAAACTTCATGGACAACATGTACGGAAGCGCCCATAAAATTGCGAGTCGGTCGTTCGGATATACCGCGGGGGCTTATTATCGTAAGTGCATCATGTGGTATTATTCAGCAGTCACCACCCAGGCGAGAAGTGAAAGTCGCGTATCTGAATGCTAATACACGTAGGCAACAACAACAACGGAGTCACAGGAAGCTTGGTGATCGGAGGTTACGATAAAGCGCGACTATCTGAGCAAGGTGTCTCGATCAGTATGCCCAGCCGGCAGAACAACACGCTTGCTGTTGGCGTCATTTCCATTCTCTGGAAGCCAGACCAGGACGCCGAAGCCAGCACGGCTTCTTTCACCAAGGGAGGATTCCCTGCCACCATCGATTCCACATTACCGTATCTCATCCTGCCGGACGAAGTCTGTGACAAATTCGTCACTACTTTCGGTCTGACCTTGGACGAGGATGTTCAGCTGTATACTGTCGACGACTCATCGCACCAGCAGAATCTACGATTAAACCCAACCCTATCCTTCAAGATCAGCGCCAATGCTGATGGCGACAGCACAGACTTTACGGACATCACTTTACCATACTCGGCGCTGGATCAGCAAGCCGGTTATCCACTCTTCTTCAATACGACCCGTTACCTTCCCATAAAGCGATCACAAAATGGACGATTCGTGTTGGGGCGCACACTGTTACAGGAAGCGTACATTGTGGTCGACTACGAACACCAGAATTTCACGGTCGCTCCAGCCACATTCTCTGATCCGATGCCAGACCCGAGTCTAGTTACCATATTTGATAGATCTTACACTGGCCTACCGACGCCACCAGAGTCTGAGTCTAGAGGTGGGCTATCGGCAGGCGCAATCGCAGGAATCGTTGTCGGCATCGTTGGCGCCTTCATCATAGTCGCAATTGGAGCTTACCTTCTATGGAGGAAGAAGCGCCGGGCGGCAAAGGAACCTGAAGAAAATACCGAAAAGCCGTCTGAGATTGACACAACTTTTGCTGGTACTGAGATTAAGTATCGTCGTGTCTCAGAGCTCACTGGCTCTGAAGCTCCTCATTCGCCAAAAGACCCTGCGGCAGGCTATTACAGTGTTGACCATAAATCCTATCCACCTATCAGCGAAATGTCACCGGAGAGCACCCCCGCTGAGCTTTACAGCCCTCCGCCAGATGGTCGCAATACACCCGACTACTTCGCCAACGGCAGGTATGCAGTGCCTCTTGCAGAACTCCCAGGTGGAGATACGATCAGCTCAATGCCTGGAAAAACCTCGGACATGAAGCCAGTTCAGAAACCTCCGCACAGCCGAAGTCCAAGTGACAACTCACTATCGACCAATATCGACGAAGTACTAGCGAAGAAGGCGCCTGAAGCTGGGCCAGATACCGACTCCACTAGATCAGTAGCGGACCCTGGAGCGCCAGCTACTGCTGAAGAAATTACCAGAGCAAAGGCAGACGCAAAACCCGAAGCGGCCAACGACGCGGAAGAGTCTACGGTGGAACGACGGCCGTCACACACCAGAGGATTGAGCGACACAACCATTCAAAGTGACAGCACAGCAGTTTCGCAGCCGACACCGGAAGAGCTAGAGCGCTGGGCGAGAAGTGTAGACGGCCAAAGTCGGCCCATGTCTCCGTCGTGAACGACAGAACTTTTGACTTCCAACACTTAGGTGGCTCTACACTTCCGGATATTTTCTTTCTTTAGATTTTTGATATGTCTTGCGTCGCAACGTTTGCCTCTTGGCCACTTTCTTAGGATAGTTCGAACACGTAGATCACTATGTTTGACCTTGCTTTGGGGGTTTATGAAGAGACGATCAAGATACCCACTAGTACGCTCTTTCCGACTTTAATGTAATAGTACACTGCATTGATATTTCAACGCATCGCACTGCACCCACAGCACCACCAGCTCTTGAAACACTTCCGACATCTCACAACAACTTACACTCTCGTGTAGTTCGCATCATGCCTCATCGGTTCTCGTGCAGTATATTATCGCTGAAGTAGTACGGCGTCTGCAATGCCACCACACGCGTCGCATGCTCCCCACGCCAGTTGCCATCTCTCAGGCGCGGATCCTCTAGCTTCCGACATCTAGAAGCAGTGATCGCTTGTAATGGTCCCCAATATACGCATCTCCACCAGCGCATCCCATCCGTCCCCGCAGGTCAGCCTGCAGCGGCAATACCATATTGCCGCGTCAGTCGGCGTGAATGACCGACACTACATGCGCATACAACTCGACTTGCGTGCGTGCGTGGTGGTTAGCATCCGAGCGGCACAGTCTAGCGCTGCGGGTGCGAAGGATTATTGATCAAATCTCCGCCTCCGCGTCGTTCTCTAGTCACCAACTTTAAACAGATGATTGAAAGTTACTCCTCCCCAACAATGAGGCTCAGCACCTTCCATCCCTCCGTCTTCTCAATACGGAAGGTACGCAATAGTAAACATGCGCCACCGCTCTTTGTTCCAAATCACCTCAGCGGCTGGCTAAAGGACCATGCAGTAGACCCGCATGCGACTTATGTGAGAAAGCGGCACAGCCTGATGTGAAGAAAAGCATTTTGGGGGCCGTAGCACCAGACATGGGTCGCATATTGGGCATGATCGAAGGCAAGTCAGCCTTCCGTGTTGTTGAGCATGATTGACGTGGCAAGTCGCTACTATCATACCGATCGTGGGATTAGGATTTTGCGACAACGGTCGCTTTCGTGGGGCAGGCCACTCGATGACTGCTAGAACGTGCTTACGCTGGGCACCAAGGGAGGACATATCTGAAGCCATTTGGTGTGGGTAACAAAAAGGAAGGCGGGCGTAAATTGGTCATATCCTGCAAGGGAATGGGCACATTCTTGGCGTGCAAGTATGTTGAAGACAATACACATCATACATCGACCGAATGGTGCACAGATACGACAATTTTCGTTCGTCTTCACGCCACAGGCATCAGCTCACAATGACGTTGCTCAAAGGTTGTGAAGTGATCGGGATTGCAACAACTACGCCGCAATTTATTATTCATTGGCCGTGGATCTCGTTGTACTGCCGGCCATGGTGCGCGGCCAGCAGCCGCTGCTAATGCGGGTACCGTCCCGGCGGTACCACTCAATTGGGATGATGGGATCGACCCGAGGCTATACTGCCGCTAGAAAACTGCAGGTCCATTATGTGCCAACATCGTGATTATGTATAATAGATCGCGCCACACTCGTGTGCTATGGTGTCAGCTGCGAGCTTGCCGGGCCGTGGTGAGAGGTCTGGCCATGAGGCCAAGCTCGGTATTAGTCTTCTCCCGGAACTTGTTCGTCCTCTGCAGCACCCATCTGAACGGCGTACTTCGAGCCTCGTCGCTGGATAGAGTAAGATTGCGATGGCTCGGCGCCGGACGTTGAAGATCCGAATGCCGGAGTCTCCCTCAGGGGTGTTGTTTCTGCCGATGGCTGCTGAGAAGCTGATGATCCTGACCCAGGAACTTGTGCCCGATTTATAACATTTGCGAACAAGTCCCACGAGCTTCCCTGTTCGAGAAAAGACAGAGGCCACTGAACAATGGGCGCCCAGCTCTGGTCAAGGACCTGATGACATGCCTTCGTCACCCGTTGTCCCCAGCCCTCCATGAACCAGTATCGCGTTTCAGCTGCATGGAATATAGTAGCGTAGTACATGAGAATTACAACCGCGCCAGACCTTCGCTGTTGAATAGCTTCCATAAATTCTGGCCCTAACTGCAGAGGCCAAAAGAAAAGGAAACGTAGCTCCCGGTTGTCGACTCGAGCGGGCAACGATATTTGGAAGGCGGGATCGAATAACGAAATGGTAGCGAGATAGAGCTTTCGTTCACCCTCTGACAGATCACTATTCCCTTCAATGAATGCAATTAGTGCTGGTAAGTGATTTTGCAACTCTAGCAGCACGGGCTGCGTTGCAGTGGGTTCCAACGGATCTCTCAATATCGGGCCAAGAAAAGAGTCCCTCACTGCCATCTGAGCCAGCGCGAGAACGTGGCCCATACCTTGCATGAGGTGGAAGGCATTGACGAGACTATCAATGTCGTTGGCAGGTGCAGTAGCGGGTGTCTGAGCCTCGAATCCAGTTGAAGCAAACACACTAAAAGTGAGGAGCGTCGACGTAGCTACGATCGCCGGGGCATCTTCGTCTGTTACGTTTTGAAGCTTCTCTCGAACTCCCCGAATGGCAAGATCCTGATGATGGATACCACAAGCATAGTATGGTTGCCGTTGATCTTGGGGTTGTTGATATGCTTTATGTAGCGCCGCAAAGGCCAAAATTTCATGCATGAAAAAGTCATGCGAGTTGGCTTGTTTGGGAGCCTCAACTCTCCACATATGCCGAATAGTAGGTCGCTGAGACAGGGTATCAAATGCCTCTGTTGTCCAGTGGTGTCTAAACCAGTTGGTAAAGATCCTTGCATTCGTCAAGACGACTTACAAGAGCTCCAAGTCCCGCAGCCATAGTGACGACTGACTCGGTTGATTTCTGTGTATATATCTAGTCAAGAAAGGGTATGCGTCCGACTGCGAGTCGGAAGAATCCTCTTCCGAAATAGTCGAGACGGCCCTCGCTCCGGCTGCGGTCGACGGGTTGCGCGGGTAGGCCACGTGGGCAGACGATGCCGATGAGCCCTGTTACACCAATGAGAAAAAAACGATTATGTTTCATGGCGTTTTATGGGGCATACAGGTATAGATCGTTCGAGCGGTGACTGATTCGTACGTCGTGATGCAGACGATGCGGAAGATGCCGAATGAGCTGACTGGGATGCGCTGGGATCCCATACGACGAGGCTACACGGAACGCCATGGCGGGCGCAGTTGGTACACGGCTTGAGTTCATCACACTGAGCTACTTCAGTATCGAGTCCTCGTAAGCGTGTAATGCTTAGTTAGATGTTGTGTCCTACCTTTACATGGCGGGCTTTACATTGCTGGCAGCCTAGTCTGGACCTAGAGAACGTGATCGGGTCAGAGAGGAGCGAACAGTGGTTTTGGGTTATGAAACGGGGACGCTGTGGCTCGAGGTTACGGGGTTGTGGGTGACGAGTGGTAGGAGTGTGGCGTGATGATTACGGACTTTTTGTGGCCGAGGCGCGGCATTGCAGCGAACTACCGTGACCCGAGACCAAAGCTTTGGGCCTCGACAGTGTGACCAACCGATCAGGCTATCGTCGCAACGGACCGTCTCGCGGTTTCAAGCCGCAGGATGAGGGAACAATGCGAATGCGAAGGTGAGGTACGTGTGGACGATGCTGCCGATGGTGGGTCGGGAGAATCTTCGCGCACAAGGATGATCCCACACTATGCCCAGTTCGCTTCAGACGATGCCGGATCGATCTTGTCGACAGCCGCGGCACAGCTCGCATTCGCTTTCCGGAGTTCGTAACGAGATAGATATAGTCTCCGGCTTGTAGTGCGGTTGTCGTCGACGTCGCAATCCATTGGGTCGTGCGTCATCCGGCTTCTTCCGCCGCCTCAATCATTTCGCGTTCGGATCATAGCGTCATCCTCAAGGCAGGAACATCGAAATCTGACCCTGACTAACGGTGCCATGGTATCATGTCACCCGGTAGGAGTCCTGGAAGCACGAGCCCCGAAATATACGCGAATATCGCTTCATCTACATATCATAAGGGATGTGTTCACACAGCCGATATCATTGTCCAAGACTCAAGACACACGTATGAATCAAGAACTCTGGAGAAAGAGCTTGAGCTAGCGGGTTGATAAAATGCCCAGGCAGAATTCTGCTAGAACGTCAGTATGGTACTTGAACGTATTCTCACCTCCACATCATCCATATGCAAGATGCACAGCAGCTTCCCCGATTGCAACGAATCGCATATTGCTTTTTCTTCTCAGCTCGGAGGGGCAATGGCTTCTCGAAAAAGAACCGCGGCGAATTGACTAATGCCCTGGGCGCCTAACCCCCTGTCAACATCAGCACCGTCAGGGTGGTCTGATCGTTGTTGCACGCGGGCACGAAACGACTCTTTTGAGCACGAACTGGGTGGTTGCTTCTCGAACCATGCCAGTCGCCAACGTCATAGTGCAAAGAGATCTGGCAAACAGATACGAACCCCAACACAGTTGCGGTGCGAATTCTCGGCTTGTTCCTTCCCGGCCTTTCACCCGTATCACCGATAGATGCTATTCCAAGACCGCTCTCTGAACATGGAAGAGATTCACTGCCCCTTTTACGCTCACGGTGGCGTTCAAGCCATGGAGGTGCTCCTAACAGTGTGAAAAAGGCCGCAGTAGCGGGAAGCACAAGGGCTCACCTTTCTAGATAACTTCTAATCATTCAACCCGCTATACAAGTCAGTACATCTTCCAGATATAGCTTCTTCTCTCAGGCCCCGGCAATGGATTCGCATCAATCAGTTGACTCGTTTGCGACGACAACATCGGATACCTCTGTCAAATCGGTTGCAGACATAGTCGATGGAGTCCACAAGCTTGCCATAGAGGAAGAAGACGACTACCAAGTACACGAAGACGAGCTCGTGACCCTTGGAGAGGTTAACTTGTATATCTCAGACGACTCTGGTGCACTCGAGGACCTGGAAAATGCATTTGGATACCATGTAGATATTGCTACTCAGGAGCTTCAGCATGCGCACAGACCAGTCTATACGCGCGCACTACTCGAGCGCGTAAAGTATTGGACTGATCAAATCCGTCAAGAGTTCCCTTTAGCATCTAACCAGCGACTACTCGATCATGTTGATTCTTACGGGCTGAACAAGGAAAAGTGCAGGATCTGGAATCGGAATGGTAACACTAATGCTAACACCACCCAAGTTGAATATCTCTCGCGAGTTGAGATGCATCCTGACTTTCAAAGTCGTTATGGAAATCATTCAGAACAGATCAAGGCTCTTCGATGCTATAACAAAGACCGCGCGCAGGACTGCATCGACACGCCATATACGTTCATAACCCTCGATCGATGCTTTTTGAACGAACGAAAGGATACAGCAAAGATGAGTAGATATTGGAACGATAGACAACACACGAATCATCTCTGGATAGCAAGTGCTTCGAGAAGGCAGCCATCGCGGCGCCGATCAAGAAGATTGTGTATTTTGGGCTGGGACGTGTAAGCCCGGCTTACATGTACGACAGTCTTTTCCAAAACATGGCGGTTTTGAGTATGGCGCTAGATCTGGTCAAGCACTACGAAGCGGCTGGAATAAAACAAGAGAAGATTCAGATCGTTCTCCAAGGCCCTTGGTACGAGGAGACGGACTGGACGCTATTTAGAGAACTTCATCAGACTATGGGCTGCAAGACTAGTACCGACTTGGATTTCGTTCAGGATCCAGACGGTCTTCTCGTCATCGACTCCAGCACGATGGTCGTAGCTCCGCATCTGCCTAAAATGTTCCCTTGGTCTCAGATCATCGCTGATCTCTTCGCGTCGGGGTCAGGACTGGCCGTTATCATTGGAGACTGTCCTGTGACTGAACGCCGTCAGTTCGGCAAGAAGACAACATTTACTTTCCTCGATCGAGGATCACCAACCGTCGCGAGATTTCTGTCAGACAGATATGTGGTGTTCCAGAAAGGTCTCTGGAACGGGGGCGATGGAACATTACTTGCTCTCGGAATGGACGAACATAGCCCATTCTCAATCGACTAGCTTCCGGACATGGACATCGACGTAAGGAAAGAAGACGATGCCCTAACAGGTTGAGAAATCAATACAAAAGACGAGTTGTTTCCCCCTCCTATTAGTCGTGATGCCACACATTCGGCTTTGATACTGTTGCAGGCTCTAATAACTTCCGTACTTCTAAGTGCTGTCTAAAATATTAGCTAGATATTATATAGTCTACCAAATCGAGATCTCCACCCTTTTTCTTATCCACTCTCTTACCTTACCCTTCTACATGCACATTCTCGCTGTCAAAAAAAACCCCCCCGCCAGAATAGTGCACACGATGGAAATCGAATCCGTATCTCTACGAAGGGCCGGATGTCGAGCTGTTGAACGCCACCCGTTGTTGTCCTCGCCTAAACCGTTGAAGGCAAGACTATCAGCCCTTGCTTGTTGCCACGAGGTAAGATCCCAGCGTCGTGACTATCAGACCAAATGCCCCGTGGGTACATCCATAGCGATAAACTAAGTTATGGGATAAATATAGGCACCTTGGAAACAAGAGTACTCGCAAAAGAGAGAGTTTCAACCCAAGACCGTTCCAACGTTGCACTCCGACCCATGCTTTCTCTCACCCGCACTCTCCTCTGCCTCTCCACTTACCTCTACCCTTCCCCCACGAAGCCTCAACATTGCCAAAAAAGATAGGCATAGCGAGACTCGAACTCGCATCTACCTATATACAGATCAGGGCGGCGTTTTCAACTGTGGTTTTCTCCGCTAACTGCAGGACCTGCGGCAGAGCTTGGATTACCGCGGTTCTATTGCTGAGGCGTCTTGACCATTAGACCACATGCCTTAAACATGTTCGATAGCTTGATTCAGAGTAAGAGAAGATACATCAGATCTAGTTGCAGCGCGGTAATAAGAGAAGTGAGGTGTTTGAAGGCGGTTATGCGATCAAACTCCTAGACAGCAAACTACGCCGACAAGGTAATGTCAGCTTTCCATAGCATCCTGAAGCAAAAGCAAACTATTAAAACATCACGAAGAGCAAAAATGATTGGACATGGCAAGACTCGAACCCGCATCTCTCCGCAATACCCAAAGTGGATCCATGGATACGCCCTAGTCGTCTAAGTGAGTATCTTACCCAACAAACGACATGCCCTTGATTGGTGTTGGTAACACATCGAAGGATAGCTAAAGCTATATCAACTGGTAGATAGTAGAACAAACAAAAACATGATGGACATGGCGAGAATCGAACCCGCATTTCTTGTGCCCAACAATTTGCATTGATGGCAGTGGTGACGAAGAATGCCAAAGGTTTTGTATTGGAGGGGAGAGCCAACGAGTTGAATCGATGAAGGGGCCCAACAATTCTCATTGATGGAGAAAGAGGGTGATCTGTGCTCAAGTGTCCTACCATTAGACGACATGCCTGTGAGATGATGTTTGATGTGATGAAAGGTGATGGGAGGAATATGAAGACACCGGTTGCACATGATATTGCGAGAAATGTGTGCGGTGATGCGAAAGCGTGATAACCTGATATGGAAGCGTCTACACGTCATCTTCGTCTGGCGAGGTAGTCGCTGCTGGTTGTAGTCGGCTCGGTTGCGAGGGTATGGGTGCTTTGGGAAGGCACGATGAGGCAGGAGGGCGGAAAAGACAACTCTGGTGAGTCGCCTTTGAGTCTTGCGACGAAGATGCTATAAAGTGCCGATCTATAGTCACATACCGTAGTCATACTAAACAAGGGTATAGTCGCATATAATCACCCACTCACTTCCATGTCGTAGCAGCCATCAAACCACTTACATCTAACTCAGCAACTCCTTGATATCCTCAATCCTCTGCACCCTCTTCTCCTCATCACTCATCATACCCAACGAACTCGCACTGCATCACGTTAGCACTGACCATGCACATATAATCACACTCTATCAACTTACATAAACTTCTTCCTCTCCTGTATCCTAAGCATCTTCTCCTCAATACTCCCCTCCACACAAAACCTCACGACCTTGACCTCCCTCTCCTGACCCATACGGTGCACACGATCGATAGCCTGAGCCTCGACGGCAAAACTCCACCATGGATCCATCATGAAGACTTTGTTTGCACAGGTCAGGTTCAGGCCTACACCACCTGCTCTCAGACTCAGCAGCAGGACGTATGGTTTGGGTGAAGTGGTGAACTCGGTGAGGATCTGGGCGCGCACTTTCTGGCTTATGGAGCCGTCGAAGCGGAGGAAGGGGATGTGGTCGCGGGTTAGAGCTGGTTCGATGAGGTCGAGGAAGGAGGTGAATTGAGAGAAGACGACTGTTTTTGCTCCTTTCTCTTCTTTGCGGGTTTTCTTGAGATGGCCTAAGAGGGCTTGAGTTTTGGCGGAACCGGTAAGGCCGATGCGACGAAGGCTGATGCGTGGTGTTTGTGTAGAGGTAGGTGGTGCATCAGCAGCGCGGAAAGCATGGTCGTTCTCGTCTTCGGGGGCGTGGTCATGACGGACGACTTCGAAGACGTCGCGCGCATTAATGGGTTCGCGACAGTTGAAACAGCGTGGTATCTCGTTTTTGTCGCGCTGATGGGCTATGTAACTTAGTAAGCACTCTTTGCAGGCTGAATGCCAACAGCCGGTGACTGCTTGCTCAATCATGGGTTCTTCGGAGCAGATTGGACATTCGGCCGCAGATTCGTCTTGTATCTGTTTCAAGACATGTGCGCCGAACCTATTGACATCTTGGTCACCCTCGGCAGTGAAACGTTCAATCAATGAGGAGAGATCCATGTCATCCGCCAGTCCATTTGCAAGATCCGATGCTAACGAGGCATCTTCTTCATCGGCGACAAGATTGCGATTGCGTGTCAGGACAGGATGGCAGCACGATTGCCGTAATCGTAAAATCTGCGCGAAGATGGTTGTGTAGGACTTCATCAGTGTGCCGGCTTCTGCATTAGCATTGACCAGACTCTTTGCGCGCAGGAAGATGTGGTCGTACACATCCCGCTCGTCCTGTGACAGCACAATCTTCTCAACTTCGATCGTCCGTGGGGGCAGTGGTACCAAGGCTTCACCATCGGGTGTCTTCATGTCCTTTGTTCGACGAAGCACCAGTGGCTCTAGTACAGTCTGCACCACATTCAAGGCACGTACAAAGTCGCCTGATTCGAACGGCACGGTGATGAATGTCTTCCAGAAAGAGAAGTTCGCCCATGGCTCGACCTTGAGGAAACGAACCAGACTGAATAGATCTTCCAAGCGGTTCACGATGGGTGTTCCTGTAAGCGCCCATCGAAGTTTTGCACTGAGCTCGTAACATGCTTTCGCCGTTTTCGACTGCCGGTTCTTGATGTAGTGCGCTTCGTCGAGGATGATGCGGAAGTATTCGAGCGAGAAGATGCCACCATGCGAGCCACGGTTCCCTTCCTGTGCAACCACCTGGTTGTACTCTGACAAGACTGTGCCGTAGCTCGTTATAATAACGTTGGGCGCATTAGCTCCATTCGATGCACAACATAACTTCTGAAGGTTCACAGCCTTCTCCGAGCCATAATAGAGCATGGCCTTCAGTGTGCCTTCTTTGGACGCCTTTTCGGCTTCGCTGTGCCATTGTGCCAGCAATGACATGGGTGCTATGACGAGTGTAGTGTATGGCGCAGGCTCAACGTTGGCACTGGAGTTTTGCAACCGGGGAAGAGCCTTCCGTGTCGTCAACGCATCCTTGTCAATTTCTGTCCTATGTGTATGGATCAAGCTGAGCATCTCGATAGTCTTACCCAGACCCATCTCGTCAGCGAGTATACCACCAAGGCAGTTCTGCTCTTGTTTCGGAAACTCAAGCGAGAGCTCGCCAGAGTAGGGATTGACGTAGAACATAGTCTGATCTTCGATGGTCGGTATTGGTTGGTTGTCTGCATCTTGAGTCGGCCACTGATATTCCTCCCACAGTGGATGCATCGAGATCTCCTTGTCTTCTATCGACTCATTCTTTTCTTTGCTGGCCATCCAGAAGAGCGCCTGCTTCTGATACTTGCGCAAATCCATGCGGAAGGTGCTCGCTGGCTCCATGGTTGGAGTGTCAAAGTCGAAAGACTGCGCCTTCTTGTATAGTGAATCCAGTTGATCTTGTTCTAGCTCTTCTCCTTCTTCTGCTTCATCGGGTGGCGGGGAGGATGTGGGGTTAGTAGACGTCGCAGGCGTGGAAGATGTTCCGTTCTTCGGCTTCGGCTTATCGCCTTTCTTCTCTTCGCTCTCTGCTGCCTGTAATAGACCTTGGCGCTTGTGTTTCGCTGTCTCTTCATTTTCGCGGGTGGGTTGGAGGTTGATGTTATCGAACAGCTTCACAAGACCAACTTGCCGTAACCGAAGGTCTCGCTCGTCGGACGATTCCTTCTCTTCGAACAGATTGATTTCTCGATTGTTGTCCGGTTTAGCAAATTTACGCTTATCGAATGCTGCGCGAACAAAAAATGCTCGTAGTTGTAGGTATATGGTATCGCCTGTGCGTATCTTGTCAGGTGTGTACACAACCGAGCCGTCGAAAGAGCACACTTTCTGATCGAGTAGCACAGAAACCCAGGCTGCTGAGTCGTTGTCCAACCTGCCAACTTCGGCCCCGCGCTCATTCATGAACCGGACTACAATATCCGGTTTTGAGAGTTTGATGACCTTCTTTGCCTTGTTCAGTTTGGGTTGTGGCTTAGTGCGTTCGATCCGGATCTTTTCGTCGTGCTTCAGCTGGGATCCGCTCTTAGTCGCAAAGCCTACGACACCAAAGGAGCCGATATAGCGCTTGCTGGGCATCTCTCGCAGTATTGTAGGTGTGGAGGTGCCTGAGCCTGGTGTGGACGCATTCGATATTTCGGATTCGGTTCGATTGAGGGTTTTCGCTATCGTCATCTGAATGGGCTGTCGAGCGGATTTAAAGATCGGCGCGGGGGAGGGTGAGGGCATCTTGTTCCATGAGCCGTCCAAATAGAGGTTAATTGCTAGACGTTGTCAGCCATGCAACTACAACTTGATGTTTACAGCCATACCTCGTTGTACATCGCTTCCACTGACGTCTCTCAGCTTCTGCAAGACCGTGGTAGAGAGTTCCCCAACAACGGCCTGGAGCATTCCAACATCGAAACTCCCGAAGTCGGCCTCTTCGTCGTTGCCATTGCTTTCGTCTGGTGTATCTGCGGCGTGTGGTGGCGGCGACGATGGGGGAGGTTCGATGGATTTCGGCTGCGGCTGAGTAGGAGAGGAGTCTTCTATGAAGAATCGGCGCTTTTTCACCGGTCTCTCGTCTGGGTGTGGTGACTCCATGCTGTCGTGTCGTGTGTTGGTGTTGCGCTTCCGTTGCCTGCATGCAATTCGTCCAGTCGCGTCGACGCGCTTTCACGTGGCGACTGCGGGTGATCGACGTAATAGCGTCATACAACCCACCAGTCGCCGTGCACTCTTTGTGCCTTAGACGAGCAATTGCGCCTGCCCCAGATTGCGCAAACACATGCATCTTCTGCGACGATAGACCAGGTTTCTTTCATCTTCCGTTCGATTCCCATGCATCTTCGCTTTGTACAGTAGTTTTCGTCCTCTCAAAAGTTTTCAATGCCACCTCCGAGGCTCCGCATAGCTCCCACCCGGCGCATACATACGTACCCAAGACCACGACGGAGGCAACTCCACACTTCGCCACGACTTCAGAATGCCGCTCGCCCTTCAGAAGATGAGATTGCACGCGCACGTGCGTACTGCGCGAATCTAGTTAGGTAACCTTGCCATGGAGAGGCTCATGCAATCACACACACTGACGGATTGGCAGAACATACGATGCGCCCTCACATGTCCTCCAAACCTTCATCCCACAGTCCTCCCGCGACGCCTACCTCGCGATCCGCGCCTTTAACGTCGATGTCGCCCGCGTCGCCGACACTACGAGCACACCCACAATTGGCATGATGCGCATGCAATTCTGGAGAGACACCGTTACGAAAGCATTAGCTGGTACACCTCCGAAGGAGCCTGTCGCCATATTGTTAGCACAAGCAGCTGAAGATCTGCATGAGCGATCCGGGGGAAAGGCACGGCTGAGCAAGAACTGGTTCCACCGTATCATCAACACGAGGGAACAGTATCTAGGGAACCCACCGTATCCCACGTTGAGCGCACTGGAGAGCTATGCGGAAAACACGTACTCGACCATGTTGTATCTGACGCTTTCAGCGCTGCCCCAGGCCTCGCTCACTACCGACCACATCGCATCGCACATTGGCAAGGCCATGGGCATCGCAGCCGTACTACGAGGCATCCCCCTCATCGCCTTCCCTCCACAACAGCCACTCGGCACAAGCAACTCCATGACCGGGCAATCTGGACCCACGCAAGGCGCCGTACTCCTCCCACTCGACGTAATGGCCGAAGCCAATGTCCGCGAAGAAGACGTCTTCCGACAAGGCGCCTCGGCCCCCGGTCTCCGCGACGCCATCTTCACAGTCGCAACACGCGCGAACGACCACCTCATCACCGCCCGCGAGATGCTGTCTAAGTTGCGATCCGAAGGCACGCTCGGCCACGACTTCGAACACCAGAACGAGGAGGAACACCAGTACAGCGCACAGCAGATGAACACAGGGCAGGAGGCACAACTAGCGGAGGTCGAACAGGCATTCGGTGTCTTTATGCCGAGCATAGCGACACAGTCTTGGCTGGATAGATTACAGGGTGTGGACTTTGACATCTTTGATGCGAATTTGAGGAAGGTCGACTGGAAGCTGCCCATGAAAGCGTATTGGGCGTATAGCCGGCGGAAGATATAATAATATCCAAAGCGAATGAATTAGTCACCGATGTATTTTCCGAAGCTGCAATGTGCTCGGATGATGATACTGATCATCACCAACATACACAATGGCGAAGTACATACTACAAGCCAGGGGCTGGGCCAACGCCATGGGGCACAGGTATGCCATTTTGAATTGTTTCCTCTTTCTGAGGATGAAGTGGAGAGAAGAAGGTCCGGTGGCAGTCCACCTGTTTGTATACCTTTCCAGGACCCTCGTTGCAGACGAGCTGGCAGCCTGATTGGAATCTCGCGAGGATGTCATCGGTCGCTTGTTCTGCGTTTTCGAATTACAACCCAAGTCTCTGCACAGAAGCTCATGTTTCTCGACAGCATGTTTCTGTTAAACGGCTTTCCAATAAGTCTAAAGGAATGTGGGGGTTTTTTTTTCACATTGACTTTTATGTCAGTCGAGGGGCCCCGGCAACACATGCATCGGAGTACTTGGCATTTTGAGGGCCAGGGCATTTCCATCCACAGTATCGGATGCCTCGTTCTCGGAGTAAAAGCCCAACAGGAGCAGGACAGATACTCATTCCAACATGCTCACGGACTTTTTGAGATAAAATGTTGGAAGTTGGCTTGTGGCGGAAGCCCGAGGGCAATGCTCATCGTCCTTATCTGATGTAGTTTTGGAAAGCGAGGGCCGAACACATGAAAGGTTTCATCGCTCGATTTTGGAGCAAGAGAGAAGAAGTGACTTTAGGAGTAAGTAAGTGTATGGGTAGCGAGCTTTAAATATGCCATAGACCGGAGGTGGGGCCACAGCACAGCTTGAGTACCCGTCACATGCTTTTTGGCAATTGATGTTTGAAAACATGTTCTTGCTGCGCAGACAAAACATGGAAAGGTGTGCCGTTCATCTTTGGAGAACCCGAGGCGAAGAACACCATCTAAATATCCAGTGAGCTTTTGATTTTTTGTTGGAAGCGATGATGGAAGATAGGAGGGACAGTGAACTGAAGACTGCGAAGCCTTATATAGAACAGTTAGCATTGCGAGCTACTCCACATGAAGATGTTGCCGGCTGGACGACAACTGCACATCGTAAGATTCCATATGGGGTTTTTTTTGAAAACGCACATCCACATGGTTTTTGGAAATTTTGATGAGGAGACTTTTAAGAGGAAGAGAAGAAGAGAAACGACGCCGATTATATACTCCCCCGTTCCTCGCCGCAACTTCGCGGTGGTGGTAGAGCCCCGGCGTAGTGCGGGTTGGCCGAACATGCGCAGCGATGAAATATCCGCAACTATGATAACCTTGCTTTTGTTCGCAAGTCAGAATCCACACAGGAAGCATGCATCCAGAACGCGTGTAAGATCAAAGTAAACTATTGATTTGGATGAAAGACACGAAAAGCGAAGTTTAGAGCCCCGCCCTTTCGTATCCGATCCGGTTAGTTCAGGCATCCTTCCTGTCATTCATCCGGAGGGCATCATTTCGTAAATCCGTCGCTTTGATAGTAGGATAAATTCACCTTTCGTTCACAGAGTTTGTACCGTATCTGTTGCAGGGACAGTAGTCGACGATGGCGTCAAATGCATGTGCTCTCCGTTGCGACCCCTAACAACCCGCAAGCTAACGACCACAGCCAAAGACACCAATAACCTGGGCGGCATCGTCCAAGGAAGATGTGTCCAAAGTGGGATTTCTGGACCTACCACGCGAACTCCGCGATATGGTCTACGAGTTCGCGTTCCGCATCAAAGGCGCGGTTCTCGTCTACTCGTGCGACCCCTTCGCCGTTCGGCCCGTGACGAAAGCGCTGAACATCCGGCACGGCGGCGAAGGACCGATTGAACCACAGCCGTTGGGCAACAGCCAGATCCCTGTAGCACTTATCAGAACATGTCAACAACTTCGAGCAGAAAGCAGCCCTGTTTTCTTCGGAACCAACGTGCTCTCTTTTTGGGCGCTGGGAAACATCGACGTCGGCCTCGCCAATCGATGCTTGGTGCGGCACATTGTCACTGAAGCAAGTCCTCGCGGCATCTTCGACAAGTCTCTCGAACACGTGAGCTATTGCTGGAAGAGAAGGTTTTGGCCTGAGATATTGCGTAGCAGTGAGGCTATACTGGAGCAGTTCCCAAACCTGGATACGCTGACGTACTCGCTGAAGCCACCGCGCGAGGTGATTTGGAAGCCTGCTTTCTTTGAGGTGGCGAACAAGACCAGAAAACAGCGTGTCGATCTGGTTGCCAGTTGGATGGGTCAGATGTGTTCTTGGGAGAATGAGCGACTGCATCGGATTTTGCATCTTGAAATGGTGCCTTCGCCTGGGCTGTCGAGGGATGATTATGCGGGTTCGCGGTTTGTTCCTGAAGACGAGGACGTGTGGGACTATACTGAGTTCGCAGATGCGTTTGAGCGGATGAAGAGATCAGTGTAATCGGAGGGAAGGAGAGGCAGATCGATCAATTAAAAGCAATATGAACGCCCTAGCCGTGACCACGTTTGCTGAACCACCTTTCGATGCATGATAATGGAAGCAAGGGCATGATCGCACGAGTCTTGCCTTCCCCGCCATCTTGATCCTATCTTATGAGCCGCTGGGGTAATGTGTGCTTTTCTCCACACGATACAAACAGAAAACCTAGAGTTTGGTACAGACGTACACGCGAACTGCTCGCGTCAACTGGTAAGCGACGAGGCTAGATCGCCGGCCGATTCCGGCAACTACACCCAAGCCGCAGGTGTCAAGCACGGCATCAAGAAAACGCCATTCCGCGCTCAGATCTCACAAAAAAAGATCCAATTGTCATAGACATGTTTCTCCGACCAGCGCGCACCTGCACACGGGCACTCCACACATCAACCCGCGCAATCACGGCCCGGCCGTCCATAAACCCACCAAACGACGCTTTCCGAAACCGGCAAAACCTAGTTCCCAAATTTTCGACAAAACAGTCATCATTGCAATTGAGCAGCAGGCGATTCATAGCAACCTCAGTACCCCGACTTCAACAACTCGGCTCCGCAGAACGGATTTCAACATCCAAAATGGCAGGCGACGATCACTACCTCACGCTCTCATGCCCAGATAAGGCAGGCATCGTGTACGCCGTCACGGGCCTACTGGCAAAGGAAAACCTCACGATTCTCGATCTTCAGCAATTCTCCGACCCAGACTCCAAGACTTTCTTCATGCGTGTGCATTTCGGCCATGCAGCAGATGTCTCAGCGCTACAAGAAAGCATGAGGAAGCTCGCTTCCGAAATGAGCATGACATACCAGATCCAACGCGTAGACTCCAAGCCCAAAGTCCTCATTATGGTGTCAAAGATTGGACACTGCCTCAACGACCTCTTGTTCCGCGTCAAGTCTGGCCAACTCAAAGTCGAGGTTCCAATCATTGTGTCCAACCACCCCGAGTTCGCGGAGCTGGCAAAGAACAACGGCATTGAATTCCACCACCTTCCTGTGACCAAGGACACCAAGGAGAAGCAGGAGACGCAGATTCTGGATCTCATCAAGCAACACAACATCGACCTTGTTGTTTTGGCGCGCTACATGCAAGTCCTCTCACCGCGCTTGTGCACGGAGATGTCGGGAAAGATTATAAATATTCATCACTCTTTCTTGCCTTCGTTCAAGGGCGCGAAACCATACCACCAGGCCTACGAGCGTGGTGTTAAGATTATCGGTGCGACCGCGCATTTCGTTACTGCGGATCTGGACGAGGGACCAATCATTGAACAGCGCGTTGCGAGGGTCGACCATGCGTTGAGTCCCAAGGAGTTGGTGGAGGAGGGTAGTAATGTCGAGAGCCAGGTTCTGGCTGCGGCGGTCAAATGGTGGAGCGAGAAGAGGGTGTTTTTGAACGGTCAAAAGACCGTTGTGTTCAACTAGAGTGTGCCATTAAGAGTCGACGAAAAGCAATGTAAATACAAACATATGTGTGATGAGAAGTCCTGAAGTTTATTGGATCTATTGATTTTTTACTGTTGCGATGGCACAAAACAGCTAATTGAATGTAGGTACATGGTGAACAGGATCAAATGAAAGCCAACTTAGGATTTGGTCTTACACTACCATGCTTTATGCACGCTCACCACTTCACGCGCAGGCCTTCGAAGCTTCTCGGCATTGGTGGAAAGTCAGCAGACAGACCATCTTCGCCAATGTACTTCTCCTTGAGTAGGAGGCAGGTCGAGCATAGACGCTCTCCGATTGAGTGTTCACCGAGCCAGATCCGGCCTTGAGCGCTGTAAAGCAAAGTCGCTATGTCGGTGAACATGTTCGATGTGGGACTGGTTTGAAGATCGGTATCATGAAAAACGTGCGGCTGGGCGTCGAAGAACTCGTCATCCGAATGCGTATCATCGTCTTTGTCGTCCGTTTGAAGCATCCCGGTATACTCCGAAGGTTCTTCCAACATCGTCGAACCTTTTTGGATATTGTCGCAGACGCAGTTCGAGTTGTGGCCGGATTTGACGCATTCTGTGACGGCTATGCGCGCAGGTTCGACCAGTCCGCAAGCAAACGGACCATATTCGTCTTTGCAGTGTGTGCATGCAGTCCTTGATAGCTTTCCAACACCTGCGCCGTGCGGGATACGCTTGGTCTGAGTCAGCACACGGACGAAGGTCCGTCGCGTCATGCCAAGTTGGCATAGATAGCCATCGAGCTCTTCTCGTATATACGCTTCCAATTGCTCAATGCAGTCCAATACTACGTTACACCAAGCTGAGTAGATACTCGGCAGTGCTTGGAGGAATTGCTTGTGTGTGAGGTTATCCTCCATCCAATCAAAGCCCTTCATCTGCAGGAACGAGCCGGCGTTCACTGCCATTGGCAGGACTACTCGACCGCTTACACGTAGAGTAAGCCAAGAGCCTATAGCGTCCAGGTGTCTCTTGCTGACCTCTGAACGCTCTTGGTTAGAAAGACCTAGAATTTGCTGGAGGTAGTTGTTGTGACGTGCATGGTTGAGAACAGATCTCATCGCATGTTGCAGGGCGGACCACATATTGCGCGCGCCAAATTCTACGTACTCCTCATTCATGGTAATGTGAAGTAGCCACGTAATACTGTTTCGCGACATTGGAACTCGTTCCCTTGCATATGCCCTCTTGAGCCAGTCGTGAACAGACCAACCGTCACTGTCAGCGCCGGCTATGTCAATGCAGTCACAGAAGAGTCTGAGCATGGCGATCTTGGTATCAGCGTGCTCATCGATACAAGACGCTACGAAAAGCGATATGGGTGATCTGATTTCCTTAGCAGCGGTTCCGTCACTTGACACTGGGGACCTACAAGATCGCGTCAGAGGGTCCTTCGTACACTAGTGCAGACTTGTCTGCGCCTCCCTTGATCAGCAAATCGCAGAGCTCGACGTGACCAGCTGCGGCGGCAAACTGACTAAGTCAGCATTCTTGAATGAGTCTTCCACAGAGGGGTACCATCTTACGTGCAGCGGCTTCCATCCTTTGGGGCCCGTATCTACTACGCTTGCCATTCCTTTCTCCAAAAGTGCTTCGACTGCACGGGTCTGACCAGTGCGACAGAGCTCGAAGATGAGTGAATCATCGGAAACAGGACGGGTTACTGTTATGTTACAGTTGAAGAGCCAGCTCCGGCCCCCGGAAGCTACGACAGCTTCGAGGCCACTCTGGATGCCCATATACTGTTGCCATCTTGTAGGATACAAGATCAACGATCTGATGATCTGGGATTTCCTGCATCCCTCGGAAGACCGGTTGCTGTGGTGAATGGTCGTTGTGCGTAGCCAAGCACACCCGAGTGCAGTGCGGAAGGTTGAGATATGATGATTTACGCGATACCGCAGGTTCTCGGCGTATACAAAAGTCTTGGTACGTAGCTGTCCACATTCGTCGATCATGTAGCCGTCTTGTGAATAGATCTCCATCGATGTCGGTTCGAAGGTGGTGACCGCGGTTTGTGCGATGGCGTGTAGCATTAGCTCCTGTACCTCATAATCGATCGAGCGGCGCTCCGTTGGCATTCTACCTGAAGGTTGTAGTTCGTTCGCTGTGGACGAAGACTTCATGTAGCGGAGGGAACGCTGGCCACCGAATTTTGAAGGGACACTTTGCACTGCTGTCCAGCTAGACGCGTCTTCGATCCCGGACAGACGAAGTGGACTTTTCCGAACGGATCTAGAAGCGCTTTGTCTCTCGATCTCTCCAAAGACTTTGACTGTAGTCGAAAGACGGTAAGAGCGAGCATGAATCACGCTACGTATGTATAATTAGCGAATCAGTTTTTGTAGACATTGCTCCCGTCATACCTTTCGTGGGCCATAGCTAGTGTAAGTGTCGACTTTGTGTCGTTCAAGGAGTCACGAAATCGTTGGATATGTTTGCTGTGAAGGGCAGCTTTGAAAGCGGTACGTACTCGTTGCCTCCGCGACAGCGATGAAAACCCGCCATCAAATCTTTCAACAATGAGTATCAGATCCTGAAATGATCAGTCGCAGCTTGCATCTCCAAATCAACGCGCTTACTGTAATCTTGGCCCGGCAATGCTGTACACCTTCTGCTAAACAGCTATCAAGGGTGTTGCCATGGGATTCGACTCTTTTGAAGACTGAAATGAGGAAGCGTAGATCTTCCTTGATGGCAATAATCTCCCGGGGAGCATCTTCGACTGTCTCCCAAAACGTGTAAAGTTTGATACACGCTTCGGTAAGTTGGAAAGCCACAGATATAACAGCGAGGCCTGAATACTGTTAGTAAGTGATAAAGAAGTCGTTCATTAAAAGTACCGTTCGCCGCGACCGAAAGCCCTTCCATTGCCGCTGCAACCTGATGCCATGTCAAGAGCGGTCCGATTGAAGCTTATATCCCAGTGATCCTACTGCTGTACAGCAAAGGGGCAACGTTCACTCACGTCTCAGCATTGTGGCTGCGCTAAGGCATGCTCAATGATTTCCCTGCAGGTTGCCTCGTGCTTTGCCATCGCGAAATCCGTGCTGAGTACGTCTTTGAGCCTTGCGCATGGTCGTAGCCGAGTAACCGAAAGATAACACCGGACAACAATGCGCGTGGGCGGTTGATGCTCCTGTGCAAATCACAACTAAGACAGTTCCCAATAACCCTATCTTTCTCCGGTTGTGCTATGAGCAAGCTCTAGTACGCTACAGGACCTGCCCATAAGATTGATACGATTTCGATGCTTGGGTGACAGCTTCTCAATGACGCCAGGGCTCAGGAAGCTGGGTCAATCGATGCTTCGTCGCGCTACGCTTCCGCCCCCACACTATCCACTTGTGGGTTCAGCCGTCCCGTAACGGGTGTCGAGGCCGACGTGTTTCAGGAAGATCAGGAAGACGGAATTACATACAATGGGTTTAGGGCCTCGAGTGTCGCCAACTTTGGTAAGAGGAACGAGAGCTGAGTGGGTAGAGGCACGGGAAGGGGCTGCGCGCTAGCGACAAGAGGGGCAGCGCCCGCATTTGTTGACACCTGGGCAGCCACTCCATCTCGCTTAGGTCTATCATCCATTCCTTCGACGAGCGTAAACAGCAAATAGTCGTGTCCATGCTTTCAACGTGTTTGCCTTCTGAAACATCTCAACTTGCGTTCGGCTCGATGTCTCCGAGCACGCGACATCGGCGCCAGACATGCGCATACAGTACAGGCTGAGCCAGCCAGAGCAGGTGCAGAGTGTTGAATTCACCTGTCTATTCATCCTCCATCTGCGGATCTATCGACGGGTTCCCGTTCCGTCGCTTCGTTAACCCCGCATACGGCGCTCCTCTAACAATGGGTGCGATTTCCGATGCAACGCCAAAAGCACAGTGGTTCACACTCTGGAAGTCACCAATACCCTGATACCCATGTTCCCTCGTGTACTCTGGATCATCACTATTTGCAAGAACACCGAACTTGAGTCTAGTATGCATCAACTCCAACGGGAAAGGATCATTGCCCAAACACGCGCCGCGGCTGATGTCATCCAAGGTGGTGTTCCGTGTGGTAACTAGAATGCGAGAGAAGCCAGTCGAGAATGTCGTCCCGTCTTGCCAGATTGTGAAAGCACCGAAGAGGAGGATGAGGAGTGTGATAAAGACGACTGGCGCGTAACATTGCCAGAGCCGTTCGGGGACGTAGACGAATGAGGATTGGAGTCGCGAGCGGTTCACTGTAAGCTGTTCTTCGGCGACTGCTATCATCTCTGGCGCTGATAGCAATGACAGAACCATGTCTGAGTAGAAGGTCTCGATCTCATCCGTTAGGTTTCGCTTAGGCTCGCTATTCTTTTGAACTAGTCGTGTCTTTGTGACATCAGAATAGACTTGTGCATAGTACGGTCCGGGTAATGGCGGTTCGAGATCCACGTGTCCGCGGAGGAAGTCCCTGAACATGTCGCCAACAGCATGGTATGCGGCCGTCTTCTTGTATAGACCCACATCGTCCCTCGGGCTGACGTACTTTTCCGCTGGTCCCGGATTAAGGGTATAGTCGATCTTGCCGTCAACTCCCCGGGGAAAACTTGTATCTACAATCGGTCTTAGATGCTCTAGCTTGACCGTGGAGTTGAAGAACGGCTCGATGAAATTCCAGTTGACCGTATACCTAGTCTCCATATGTGTGCAGCGGATGATGCGTGCATCATAGCGATGTGTCCATCTCTCTGCGAGAGGGTCATCCTCCGCCAGCTTTACCGTGGAGTTGAACGCATAGCCAATCCATAGTGCAGGTTCTGACTTGAACACACCCAGGTCCACTGGAATTTTACCATCAGGTATACCGCCCGGACCTTTGCGGAAATTGTCGGCTTGCGGACGAGCATATTCGCCGTTGTCGACTTCGGCGTAGTAAACGAAGCGGCCTTGCGGTGCTAGGATGCTCATGTTAAAAGGAGCACCTAGTTCTTCCAGTCTTTCTGCGTCGTCTATACTGCGTGCTATCTCTTCGCATTGGTAACTTGGCCCAGTGAAGCTTTGCTCGTAAGTGCAATTATACGGCCCTCCACAAGCATCTTGCCGAGCGTCTTGCCTGATGTTTGGGCGATCCGCGTTACTATACGCCAGCAGAAGGGCGATCCGTCTTAGCTCCGCTGATGGCTGATCGCAATAGTCGAACCATCCTGGGGCTGTGCCAGGAATATCGGTAGTATTGTAGTACATCATCGACCTCTTGTTGCTTCCATCAGCCAACTTCACCGGATATCGCCAGTCTTTTGTGGACTCCATCGAGAAGTCAATCGTAGGGACCTTGAGGATGATTATCTCGCTGTCGAGATAGTTTCCGAAAGTAAGCGCACCGGGTGAAAAGATGATTGTTGCCAGCGGGACCAGCCAGATGACCTGTCGAACGTCTTGCGTTAGTCTATGTCTTCTATACAATTCCTGTGAGATGGTTACTTACCAAAGCGATAGCGCACAGGACTGGCGCACTAGAAAGGGCTTCCCAGTTTCCGAATATTGATGGATCTTCCGTGGCCCCAAAGATCTGATCGATCGACAGGACGGTAAACGCCCGATCCCTAAACGCTCTCCACATGCGCTGGCGAAAGACTAGGACCACACATCCACCAAAAGCGAGTTTGGACAGATATGCCAGCGCACGCCCGTATAAAACCCAGCGAAACTTCTTGTCTTCGTCCTCTTCTCTCTGGTGGTGCAGAAAAGTATACAAAAAGTGTTGGAGAAGCGCAAACACGATACCCATGAAGAAAGCAAACAACATGAGCGCCGGCATGCGCCAATGTATCCGCCATTGAGTTGACTGTGTCGCCCGATGTGCAATCAGCCTCTCAGTCATGGGATCTGTTCGCGCTCTTGAGATACCAGACCCGAAAGAATACAGCGTGTCTGGTGTTCTGGAGTATGGAGGCCGTGGTCCTGGAGAGTATGTCGGAGAAGAAAACATGCCCGGCTTCGTACTAGGCGTATCCTGCCGCCAATGCGTGGAACCTGGTGATTTGGGTGATAGCATCGGCTCCATTTGGATACCTAGGCCTGGGTCGTCGACGTTTTCGCTATATCTTGATGGCGCCCCGCGCCTGCTGTCGGTGGACTCGTCGCTTGTTCGAGAAGGTATAGTGGCATACTCTGGTCGGGAAATGCGGATTTCTGGCGATGCAGGTAAATATGAGTATTGCGGGGTTTGAAGATCCATGTTGGCATTTGTTGGAGGCGTCAAATTTCGGGATAGTACGTAGAGCGCTTGCCCTGATCATTTCTTGGTAGCTTGGGAGTCTGTAGCTGCATTTTGAATAGGGGTCTGCACTGTGGTATAGGTCTCCAAACGGTTCTACAAAAGACCGGTCAGCATCCTCGGAATGACCGCCCTGGCGTCGTAGCTGAGCTGCATCTTCCTAGGGCTGAGCTGTAACCGTCAGCTGGCAGGGGTTGCACAAATTAGAGGCTCATCATCTGATGTCAGTCGGTCCCCGGGCTCGCACGGGAGTGTCGCAACAACAAGGGCAACCAGCCGACCGACTTATCAGGCCCTTGACTACGCCTGGTCCATTCGCGCACGGTAACCATAATAGTGGCGACGGGTGGCTTACACATTTGAAACGGTAAATGCTGCCGTTGGACATGACGAACGCCTGATGAGCGGTGTCGTGGTGTTCGGTGCAGGAAAGCCATGAAAGCTGGTGCGGATGAAGCTCGGACGGAACGGGTGCGCTAGCCGAGAGTCGTCCGCAACAAGACACGTACATGCAGCAGCAAACTTGGCAACGACGACGAGACACAAATACATTCGTGCATACCATCATGCTGCAGTGGCCCCTCTGTGAACGTGTGATTTCGGGATTTTATCGCAACGTCCCATCAGATTCTAATCTTCTATTCCCTCAGGTTGACTCGCCCAGTTCAACAGTCCAGCCTCCTCAGATCTCATAGAATCTCCTCGCTTCATCCTCAGTCACAGAGCTAGCGAAACACCTGTTCGAGTCCACAAGTCCGTACTTGCTCCCTTTGATCTTCCACCACATATCGCGTCGATTGCCATTCAGTTTGCCACCCAGAATGTCTTCTTTTAGTTGCCTGATGAAGGGGTTGTATATGTCTGGCTCCTCAAGCTCGGTAAGCTCTTCACGCATGACGCGAATAGCTTCAAGAGCCCGACCATAAGCAATGTCGCCAACACTATTACTGATAAGCTTGCGAATCTCCTTCGCAACGTCATCCACGGCTTCTTGAATAGCCTCCATGTCGTCGGAAGCGGCCAGTGCTTGTTTGAACGAGGGTACAAGGTTGTTGGTTTCGATCTTGACACGCTTGGGGTTGCCGAGGAGTTCGTCAACATCGAGACCCGAGAGGGGCTTGTCACGATCTCCACGCTGGCGTTTGCCTCGCCCTTTAGCTTTCGGTGGGACTTTCTTGACGTCTGCTGCTTCCATCAATCTCTTCAGTTGCTTTTCCGATGCTGCAAGGAGCTCTGCTGGTGGCGCGGAGTACTTCATCAGGATTTCGGGCGGATCGGGAATTGGCAGTGTAGGGTCGGGATGCGTCGCTCGCCATTTGATGACATGCAGAATGCGGTGGACAAGGGGCGAGAATGTATCCTCTGGTTTAGCGTACTCCTCAGGGTTGCCTTCTTCGTCACGGCCAAATGTCGATAGGTCCATTGCATCGACATAGTCGCTCATTGCGTCAAGGAGCTTGTCGGTTGGCAAGTCTTTGTGCTCCGTGATAGTTTTACCACTGACTGTGAGCTTTCGATCTAATGGTGGGAACTTGTACCGTCTCATGTCCTCCTCAAAAGGCAGCTCAACATCGACTAGAGCCTCCCACTCAAGCTCAATACGGGGAACAAGGAGCAACAACACCGGAGGTTTGAGATCTTTGGCGACCATCCTTGCGATCGCATAGCAATCAGCTTCGTAGAGAGCGTGGATGAACGAAGACAAAGCGAGCTGTGCTTGGGTGTTGGCCTTCTGCGGCACAATGTAGTTGGAACGGCCCAAAGGGAGGTAGCGTTCAAACTCCTCACCCTTTACAAAGCCTACCAACTCTAGAGACTGTTGAGTTTCCAGTTTGACGACATTCATGTCGGATTCTGAGATGTGCACCGCAGTCCTGCCGTATTCGTAACCGCGCTCTAGCTCGTCGAGCTCGACCGGGTTCTTCAGACCAGGCTGATCCTGGTCGTCCACTTGGTAGATGCGCTGGTTATGAACTGCTGCAAGATCGGGCATCGGCTGATCTTCGCCAACTACAGTCGTCGATGACTGCCCTGACGCGCCTGGATCCGTCCGCACTGCGAATGTACTTGCTGTGGGCGGTTTCGATATCATAGTACATGGGTATCGCTCAACGTCAATGGTAATGGTAGCCTCGTACTTGCTAGCATCTCCCAGAGTAAGCGAGCCTCTGTAGCTCTGGACTGGGCGGGTTTCCTTGAGACGAGGTGTATGAAGTTGATCGATGGCTGTCGCAAGGGTACCGAAGTTGCCATCGCAGTCATCTATAAAGCCTTTCAATATACGTTCGTTCTTTGCCTAGATCGGGTCAATCATCATCAGTTTTGGCTGTCGTGTCACATACCTTTTGAGCGTCCTTTCCCTCCTCTTTATAGCCCACATCTTCGTCATCGAAATCGAGACCGAGCAACACGATCTCGAATGGAGCAGCTGGATCTTTGATCTTCGCTGCCATCTCCTCGAGATCGCCTGTGTCCATTTGACCGCGACCGTCAGTCACAATGATCACCCTGCGATCGTACTTCAATGGGTTGCCTTTGGCACCTTGTGTCGCATTGTCGATCGTGTGAACAGCTACCGCAAGGGCGGAAAGTACTGTGACTGTTAGCAGGATGCAGAACTACAGATGCATGTTACTCACGGTCGCCGCTGTCTGTTTTGCTTGGTTTGAGTTGGTCTTGCAGCATCCGAATATCGCCGAGTAAATATCTCGCACCCGTTAGTACATACAAAATAACTATTGTTTTACAAATTACTGCTTCAAATCTGAGAATACCTTGATATTCTCATATCCTTCTCCTTCTTCCATACTGCCAGCAAGATCCGTTTCATCTGTCCGACAGCCTATCACGCTCATCAGCGCGGTCTTTCTGCCTGACGCGACCTACACATTCATTAACTTTCGAGAAACGATGGCATTGAGCGGCAATTGAAGCTTGACGAGCATGGAACATACTAAATCTCCAAATGAACGTCGACTTACAGTAGTGGTAATCTTGTCCCACACATACTCCAATGCCCAATCCAGGTCTGTCTGATCGCGGCCATGTCTCTTCTCACCCATTGACTTTCCTAGATCCAGGATGTAGACTGTTGCTTCTTTACCGGCCATGATCGCGTCGATTGATGCTTCTTTTGCGCGCTTCGCATACAGCGACTAGCGTCGCGTGCCGTCAACTTTACGACCTCAAAGTCCTCTGATTCGGATGGAATGTGTGAAATCGGCAGTCGTGAACGTGGTACATTTGTCAAGTTGAAATTGGAAGAAAGAGTGAAGGCGTAAGAGGGTGGTCGTCGCATCAGACGGCACGGTGTAGCCTGTTGCATTAGGCAAACGTGGCACGGACCATGCACTGGAACGCGAGAACATGTGACGAGCTAGCCTCATGGAGCCCTAGAGGAAGGAACGCAGCATGGTTTCGCTCAAACGTTCACGGACCTCTTGCAATGTTCAGACGGAAGCTTTTATTGCGATTCTTCTTGAGCGGTAGCACAGCTGGTTCAATCTAGTCTGCTTTCGGTTGTGTTGACAAGACATCCATATATGCAGATGTGAATGGCACATGCAGTAAGTTGGATTTCTCAGAGCGATTTGGTTTACATGCATCCGCCAACGATTTCATATAGTCTCTTCGTACATGTGAAGTCTACCCAAACCTCATAGTAAGAGCCTCAGGCTTACTCCCCATAACCTCTTCAATCTCCTCCAGATTTTCTTTGGTCAACTTGCGATAAACATCAACCGCCTTGACAGTCTGATATATCTGGTCCGGCCGCGACGCACCAGTAATAGCGCTGGAGACATTCTTGTTAGACAGCACCCACGCCATAGACAGCGTCGCGACATCAGTATCAAGTTTCTTCGCAATGTCCATGAGCTTCTTGATCTTGCCTTGTTGCTCGTTCCACGCATCGCTACCAACGCCTTTCATGACGGACTGAATGTATGGGTCGTCTGAAACGCGGAGACGCGAATCTTCTGGGACGCCGTCGACGTATTTTCCTGTGAGGAGGCCGCCTTGGAGGGGGGAGAAGATGGTGAGACCGAGACCGCGGCGGGTATAGAGGCCTGCGTCTTTGTATTCTTGGTCTACCTTCTGAGGGCGGAGCAGTGAGTAGCCGGGCTGTTCGACAACGGGGCCGATGAGTCCGAGACGGTCGGCTACAGCCCATGCCTCTTCGATCTCGGAGGCGAGCCATTCGGACGTGCCCCAGTAGAAGGTTTTGCCCGTGTTGATGAGGTAGTTGAAGGCGCGTACTGTTTCTTCGATTGGCGTGTAGCGATCTGGGCGATGTGCGTAGAGGATGTCGACGTAGCTTAGTTGGAGTCGTTCAAGCGAGGCTTCGGTTGCTTCGATGAGATGCTTTCGCGATAGCCCAAGGTTGTTGATTTTGTTGCGTGGCGAGGGGAGAGCAGAGTTGTGAGTACCCCAGTAGATCTACGCCAATTAATGAAACTTCTTGAAGTTCCTCTTGAGTCTGTGATACCTTGGTAGAGACGACAATGTCGTTCCTGTTCCAGTTAAAGTGCTTGATTGCCCGGCCCATGACCTTCTCAGACTCGCCCTTTGCGTATCCTTCAGCGCAATCGAAGAAATTGATACTGCAGAGAAGCGAATACAAAGTTAGTGTACGTCACACACGCGTATCGTCCACTCTGGCTTACCCAGCATCAAATGCTGCCTTGAGACAGGCGAAAGTGTTATCATCGCCGACATGACCTCCGTATGTGAGCCAACCACCGAGGGAAATGGCAGAGATTTGCAGTCCGCTCTTGCCCACGAAGCGGTACTCCATCTCAGGCAGATCTTTAGGTGCTTCGGATTGAGACATGGTGAGGAGTGGAAGTTTGAGGGATGTGTACTGGACTTTGGATGGGATGAATGTGATTTATATTGCAATAGTACCCCAGTCGCAAACTACCGTATATAAGCAAGCCACCAACGATTCCGTGCGATACAGTGCAGGGCCATCTGCTGAATGTGGTTACTTGCTCTAACCAGCCATCCAAGGCGGGGCTACTCGCTGGAAGATACCCCGCACTGAGGGCTCATGGGCGTAGGCGGCGCGGGAAGTACAAAATCCATCCCGCCTGTCGTCATCACTACGGAAGACCACTTTAGGCGGTGGGACCAAGTGTCGGAGGTGTGTACAGATAGCAACAAAGATTGCGCTTGCAGCCTTTGAAAGCACGAGGTAATGCGATCGGGCATATGTACAGCGAAAAGTGCCGTGGTCATTGGGGAAGGCATCGAACAGCTTTCTCTTCTACGATCAATGCGTCTCACCAGATGCCAGGGACCATTCTCTTCCGCGGACCTACCTTGGCGGCACCAAATTTCTCCACGTACCACTCCTTTGTCCCGACGGCTGTCACTCCCAGGTTTGTAGCGACGAATACAGCCGCGCAGGCCAGTGTCCAATTGACCCAGGTGCCCCCAGGAGCTGCTATGAGCGACAATAGCGCGTAGATGACGACCTCGCAGGTATAGTGCGGACAGAGTAGGTTTGGAAATACGGTATGCGAGGGGAGCTGGTAGCCGTTGCTCTCGGTGCGGAGGCGGTAGAGGTAGCTGTGGTAGGAATGTTGCAGCATTTGCGCAGTGATAACACCCGGCACAAATGCCCAGTTACCGGCGGCATTGCTGGGTGTCTCAACCCAGATAGCCATGTTTATCGTGATATAGAAAAGAAGACCTAGAACCCAATGGGCGAACCACATCCGGCTCTTGCTCGTCGAAGTGTATGCGTACGACTCGAGCATGCGTCGCAGGCCCTGAAGCAGCAGGAGCGCCCAGACAATCTGCTGCTGCCTGCCAGCTTCCCAAACGTGTAGTTTCCATGCCCAGAACAGCGAGCAGAGCACGGATGTGATGTAGAAGTGGGTGAAGTAGTTGTGGGGCACTTGTAGCGACGCAGCGTAGTCGAGGGTACGGGTGAGCGTTGACTGCTGCTGAACGAGTGGCTCCTTACTCCTGCTCACGCAGGTGACGCGGGAGCCATAAGCAAGAAAGCGCGAGCGCAGGGCAGGAACAGCCTGAATGACGAGGATCTAGTAAGCCGGTCTGATTAGTGAGGTCGCATGTGGAGGTGAATGGTGCCGCGATACAAGAAGAGACGCAGCGAGGTAGAAGATGCGCAGCAGAGCCACGGGATGCAGGTCCTCGACGCGGCAGCCTATAGCTGAGAGCGAACGCGATAGCGAGGCCATGTCGGGAGTATTGAAAAGTGAACGCGTAGGGGGCTGTGACGGCAGAATGATGAAGCCCTGACTGGTGCTGACCGCTTATTCGATGAGCGAGTCACGTGTCGCCAAAGCCAATCTCTCCGTGGTTCTCGCGACCAAACAATCTGGCCCGCAGGAGATGACGAGGGCTAAATAACGCGGCAAAGGCCGAGTTAGCGGCGGTTTGGAACCTTGGGAGTCCTGTTTCGGCTGGGATGGCGAGCCACGAGGAACACGGGACCAGCAGCTCGCAGCGCTCCCTATAGTGGAAGAGGCCAACTGACAGACTGTGAGCCACGCAACATCAAACGTCACGGCCACACGGCGCGGTAATCATGATGTCGCGTCGCATGTTGTTGTCCAGTTCACGATAAACGATGGCTTGATACCAGCACAAAGGCGAGTGCAGGGTTGCCTTGACGATCCATGCCCCCCATGGCTGGTGCAGGCCGGTGAATGGTGGAGCGCTGCCTGCAACTGGCAAGCCTCTCAGCTCTTCTCCGTGTCGCTCCTCCTCCACTACACCTCACAACGCGCCTTCATCACCCACCCCCGACCGCGCCGTCCATCGCAGCCCGTCGAGCAGCCCAGCGCCCTGTTGTTGTTGCCGCCCGCGCCCATCCTCCTGCAGAGGCCTCCGTTGTGCTCCTTCCGTCCCTTGCTCTGCAAGCCAGCATGAGGCAGGAACTCGAGTGTCCTGTCCCAGCGTAATGACCAGTAATGCCGATCCGGTCTTAAACGCACCCTCTGCCCCCAAGTCCTTTCACCACGACCGCCCGCACAGCCCGCCGTCCCCTCGCCCGGCACCCAAGACGGCCGCCTTCCCGTCCCAACATGCTCACGATGAAGACCAGGACGCTGAGGGCGAATCCGAGGCTGAGACGGTCGTCCTGTCACGGGACGAACATCCCGAAGAAGACAAAATGATCAAGACAGAGCGCGTCGAAGACGACGACGACGATGCATCGCGGCTGCGCTCCATCAAGGAAGAGTCACGGGCGCATTCAGCCCAGCCCAACGGCCGTCGCCGGTCGAGCAACGGCAATCATGTCAAGGTCAATGGCGCCAAACACGCCTCGGAGCGCGATGCGAAGAGCCCCGTTCCTACTTCACCCAGCAGCCGCACGGCCTCGCGACATACCAAGGACACCAGTCCAAACGACTCGGCCAAATCGCCAGTCCGATCCGCCCTCTCTCCCACACAAGCTACTACTCGCGGCCGCAGCGCGTCGACTGTCGAGAACCGCAAGCGCAAGCAGCGCGATCAGTCCTTCCCCAAGACCTTCGAGCCACCGCGACAAAAAGCCAGGACTGAGGGCTTGAAGGACGCGCGCCTGCCTCATTCGCCTGGCACGCCAGGTTTTGGCCGCCCACACAAGCGTTCGCAATCAACACAATCCGCTGTCACAGGTATCGCGGGCCGCAAGCGCCGCGAGGTAACCAATCTCGCTCTGTCGACAGAAGAGCATTGGTCAGGATCGAGTTCAGATCATTCAACATCACCGCAGCCCACGTCCGCGCCGCACCTCCAACACGCCCGGGTGAAGCGCTCCACCAACCGTGCGCTGACCTCGCCTGCACGCACCATGCCCCAGCGGAAGGTCGACAGATTTGGCGCAACGCGTCTCGCTCGAGAAAGCGAAAGAGGCGATCTGGATGCAGTCAAGGAAGCCTTCGAAGACGCGCCCGACGAACTAAATCAGCCCGACTACGCCGGTATTGCTCCGTTACAAAAAGCCTCGCTGCACGGCTGGGCACCTGTCGTTCGATATTTGATTAGCAAAGGCTGCCGCACAGACTGCGAAAGCCACGATCGAGACACTCCCCTCATCGATGCAGTAGAAAACTCGCATTTGGACGTCGTCAAGTTGCTGCTCAACGAGGGCCAGGTCAATCCACATCACTCCAACAAGAAAGGTCAGCGTGCGATTGATGTGCTGGACCAGGAGGATGACGATGCAGAGGAGATCGAGAAGGAGCTTAGGGAAGCTATGAGGAGGCGTGTAGACACGTCCAGTAACGACCACGAGCGCACCCAGAAGCAGGCCAAGACCGCATCGCGATTATTGTACAACGAGTTCAACGTGGAAACATTGATCGAGAAGGCTGGCGATGGCGACATCCTTGCAGTAGGAGAGCTGATCAACAGTAACATCAAACCGAACATTACCTGTGGCGTTGCAGCAGCAAGAGGTGGACACTACGACATTCTCAGTATCCTTCTGGCGAGTGGCCTCAAGGCTGATCCCGACCCGTCCAAGCACCCAGAAACGCCCATGACAGTTGCCATCGGACGAGGATACCTCAAGATCATACAACTACTTCTCGAGCAAGACAACTTCAATCCCACTCGCCGAAACAAAGACAACAAGACGTATTACGAGATTTCTGAGGAACGGCATGGTCCTAAGTGGGAAGAAGAGAGGGATATGCTGAAGCGCGCCTGCGAGGAATATCAAACGACACACCGAAGCCCGCGGAGAGTCAAGAAAGAAGCTCCCAATGCCCCGGCGAACCGCATGAAGAGGAAGACGTCGCCGCGAAGAGAACGGTCGTCTTCCCCACGTCCTAACGCAAAACGCGCGCAGCTGGTAAAGTCGACGACAGAGCCTGCTGCACCACAAAAATCTCGACGACTCATGTCCGGAAAGGAAAAGGCGACCAGAGAAGACCAAAGAAGAAAGCGCGTTGTGGATGACGACTCATCAGAAGAGGAGAGCGAAGAAGACGTCCGACCGCCCATCCGGAAGGTCAAGCAGCATTCTTATAGCGAAGGCGAAGAAGCGAAGCCTGTCAAGAAGGTCGTGAAAGTGCGATCAGACGACAACGAATCCAAACGACCGGACCGAGCACACTCAGACGAGAGCGACGAGGACCATGGTACTAAGCAGCCAGTCAAGATCCGGACAAAACCAGCCAGACCACTCAGCGCCAAACCGACACCCGAGATCGATTCTCCAGATGAACGAAAGGTTGTTAAGAATAAGATCAAATACAAGACCGTTGAAGACAAGATCAGGAAAAGAAAGATGTCGGATGCATCAACAGACGATGTCAGCGTGAAGAGGACGCCCACCGCATCTGCCAAGTCTACGCCCGTACCGCCTGAAAGAATAGCAACCCCAGAAGTCGAGCGCGCACGTCGTCAAGAGGAACACAAGTTACAGGCAGAAGCGAAACGCAAAGCCGCCGAAGTTGCAGCTGAGGCCGAGGCCAAGCAGAAGGAAGCAGAGGAGGCGGCTCGCAAAGCTGAAGAGATCGAGCAAGCGAAGAAGAAGGCTGAAGCCGAAGCAGAGACTCAACGTCAAGCAGCAGAAGCTGAAGCCGCACGGATACGAGAGGAACAAGAAATCCAGCGCCGAGCAGACCAGGAAGCGAAACGTCAGAAGGATCTGCTCGAACGTCAGGACCGGATATCCAGGCTCCCACGAGCTTTAAGGCGCGCCTGCGAACTAGGCACAAATCGACCGCTTCATTTCCAAGGGGAGGAACTTGGTGTGTCTGCTGTTTTCCTGCCGTTGTTCTTGGCAAATGCTGAGGACCTCGGTGACTCGCAGGCCATCCCAAATCGCAAGTACATATGTTCGTTCCAGGCTGTCGGCATACTCGGACTTCCCGAGCTCGATCTAGCGCATCTCGACGCTCCGTACTCTGATTGGTCTCGCATCCCTGTGAGCCGCGCACAACGAGATGCCATTCTTCGCCAGTATGATATTGCGCTGTTAGCCCAGGACTTCCGATTCCCAATGGAAGGCTCGCCAGACTTTGACTACACCAAAATCCAGGACAGCATCAAGGAAGCTAAGCATCAGTTCTCTGCTATGGAAGGCCTGTATTGGGTGGAAGAGTCGCTACTTTACGCCGAAGTCGAGAAGATTGAAACCCTACGGCCGCTGCTCTGCGAAATGCGCTCCGATTGCAAAAGACGACGCATCCATCTAGTTGACGGCAGTGACGAAGAGCCAGAGAAGAAGCCGAAACCTAAGAAAAGCTTCATGGATATGGTGCGCGAGCACAACGGCATCAACGGCACAGCGCCTCGTGCAATCGTGAACGGCAATGGATGAAGTAGCTAGGATATGGGGCCTTGGTTGTATATTTATTTGGATGAGAACGATCCCACACTGCCGCGCCGTGCCGTACCATGTTGTACGAAGAACAAGAGCGCCTGGGGAAAGCTACATGAAACTACGCCTGTCAACATGTTATGTAGTGTCCAGCTTCGCAGCGAAAGACTGGCCTGGAGGTATAGCGAGCTCAGCAACTCCACGAACAAGGACTGATGTGCATAATCACGAGATGAATCTAATCCATTAACGAAGGAACTGTATAATCGTATCCACTGCATCGTGCTTTCGCTCTCGTCTCGTGCCAGGTTAATCCTTGTCGCCTTAGGCTTCACCCCACTTCGGTGCATCTGGCCGCCCCAGTGGCCCCGCATCAGAGCTCCAAGCTCCGGTACACTTTCACGAATCCGAGTTCCTCACGCGCATAACTTTATTGTACTGCAAATACCTACATGCGATAGGCCTAGAATTTCAACTCACCAACTACCGATCCCAGCCTTCGAATCAAAGTAATCCTCGTCCCGATTGCACCCTTGCCAACCGTGGAAGCCGCACCCCGAACACTTTCCCGCCCAATACACGCTCGCCTCCCGATCCGACATCCCTCACCTCTCACAGTACAATGGCACCCAAAAACAAAGGCAAAAGCCAAGCCAAAGATGACGGCGGCAGCAAGTCCGAAGGCGGCGGAGGAAAAGGCAAGCTTAAGCCCGCAACCTCGATAAACGTGCGCCACATCCTCTGCGAAAAGCACTCGAAAAAAGAAGAAGCCCTTGAGAAGCTCCGCAACGGCGCGAAGTTTGACGAGGTAGCTAGGGATATGAGTGAGGACAAGGCGCGTCAAGGGGGTAGTCTGGGGTGGAAGGTTAGAGGCAGTTTGATGCAGGACTTTGAGAAGGTGGCATACGAGTTGGAGCCGAGTACGACGGCGAGTCCGAAGATTGGGGAGGTCAAGACGAGTGAGGGGTATCATATTGTTATGGTTGAGGGGAGGAAGTGAGAGGAGAGGGGTGGATGGGTGATCAGAGGCGAGGAGTGGT